TGGTGAAATTAGGACATTTCCAAATAAGCAGAAATTAAGGGAAGTTGTTAAAACCAGACCAACCTTACAAGATATGCTAAAGGACATCTCTTTGGACAGAGAACCAACAACAGCAAACAACAACTGACCATTAACACACATGATGACATAACGCAGAAATCAACCCAGTTATAGAAGTATCCAAAGTAAATAAACCTACAAGATTGTAAGCAGAGAACCAGAGACATCAATTGACAAATGTGGACAACTACAAATCAAAAAGAGGAAAACAAAATTATGTAGTTACAGAACTTCCAAATGGTAGGAAAGTCAAAACAACTATAAGATAGAATGGACTGTTCCAAATTTGGGAAGAAAACTATAAATTACAGGGGAAACTTCACATCCAAATAAAAAAGAGGACCAGCACAAATATTAAGCAAATACTAAAGGAATAGCAACAAAGGAAGTGATAACATGATTCATAAACAAAATGAACTCAGTACAGAAAATTATATGGAACAAAGAAATTAACACCACAAGAAAACACATAACAAAATGACAGCAACAAATTCATACTTTTTGATAATTACATGTCTGGCAAGGGACTTATCTCTAAGATTTATAGAAAACTCCAGTGCCTCAACAGCAAAAGGGTTAACAATCCAATTGAAAAAATGGGCAGAAGACATGAATAGACACTTCACCAAGGAGGATATTCCCACAGCCAGCAAATACATGAAGAGATGCTCACAATCATTGGCCATCAGAGAGATGCAAATCAAAACAACAATAAGATACAATCTCACCCCAGCACTGATGGCAAAGTTCAAAATGAGACAGAAAATAGCAAATGCTGGTGGGGTGTGGAGAGATTGGTCCTCTTATATGCTGCTGATGGTACTGTGAAGTAATACAACCACTGTAGAAAGCAATATGGTGATTCCTTAGAAAGCTGGAATTGGAGATATCATTTGACCCAGCAATCCCATTACTAGGTGTATATCTTAGAGGGGTAAGAGCCAGGATAGGAACAGATATATGCACACTCATGTTCATCAGAGCACTATTTATAATAGCAAAAAGATGGAAACAACCTACGTGCCCATGAGCAGAAGAGTGGATGACCAAACTATGGTACATACACACAGTGGAATGCTACACAGGACTAAAGAACAATGTAGAATCTGCAAAACCCCACATAACATGGAAGAACTTGAAGAGCATTGTGCTGAGTGAAATAAGTCAATCACAGAAGACCAAATATAGTATTAGTTCATTGTTGTGGAGGATCAAGGAAACATTTATATATGGAGGGAAACTTTCTTTGTTGATTCCCAGGGGTAGGAGGGGAGGAGTGGGAACACTGAACACACACACACACACACAAAAGCATTGACCCATGTAACTTTAGTTTTGTGTATTTCACTGTACATAAATTATATTTCAATAAAATGCACTTAATAAATTAAAAAAGACAAAAGTAGATTTGATGCACTGAATGCTAATGGACAAAAACCAGATGAGTTTGTGGGATGACATCAAAGACATCAGACATGAAGAAAGCAAAAGGTCATTGAAAAGATAGGAAGGAGAGAAAAGACCAAAATGGATATCAGAAGAGACTCTGAAACTTGCTCTTGAACAGAGTAGCTAAAGTAAATGGAAGAAATGATGAGGTAAATGGGTGGAACAGAATATCTCAGAGGGTGGTTCAAGAAGACAAAGTAAAGTATTATATAATGAAATGTGCAAAGACTTGGAATCAGAAAACCAAAAGGGAAGAACACGCTTAGCATTTTTCAAGCTGAAAGCCTCAAGTTGCAGTATTGAAGGATTCTGTGGGCAAAATATTGAATGATGTAGGATACAACAAAGGAAAATGGAAGGAATACACAGAGTCACTGTATCAAAAACAATTTGTCAAGATTCAGTCATTTCAGGAGATAGCATATGATCAAGAGCTAATGGTAGTGAAGGAAGAAGCCCAAGCTTCACAGAAGGAATTGGCAGAGTACCAATTGAGATTTTTCAGCAAATGGATGCAACACTGAAAGTACTCACTCATCTATGCCAAGAAATTTGGAAGACCAACACCTGGCCAACTGACTGAAAGAGATCCATATTTGTGCCCAATGCAAAGAAAAGTGATACCACAGAGTCTGGAAGTTGTCAAACAATATCATTAATATCACACATAGGTAAAGTTTTGCTGAAAATAATTTAAAAATTATTTCAGTAGTATACTAACAGGAATTTGCCAGAAATTCAAGCCAGATTCAGAAGTGGGTATGGAATGAAGGGTATAATTGTTGATGGCAGATGGATCTTGACTGAAAGCCAAGAACATGTGAAAGATGTTTACATGTGTTCCATTGACTATGCAAAGGCATTCGACTGTGTGAATCACAACAAATTGGATAACATTGTGAGTAATGGGAGTTCCAGATCATTTCATAGTGCTCATACAAAACTGAACATAGACTAAAAGGCAGTTGTTACAGCAGAACAAGGGGATACTATGTCACTCAAAATCAGGAAAGGTATGTGTCAGGGTTGTATTTTTTCACCATACTTATTCAATCTGTATGCTGACCAAGTAATCCAAGGAACTGGACTATATGGAGATTGGAGGAAGACTCTTTAACAACCTGTGGATGCAGATGACACAACCTTGCTTGCTGAAAGAGAAGAGGATTTGAAACATTTACTGGTGAAGATCAAAGACTACAGCCTTCAGTATGGATTGCATCTCAATTCAAAGAAAACAAAAATCGCCACACCTGGACTAATAAGCAACATCATGATAAACGGAGAAAAGATTGACGTTGTCAAGGATTTTATTTTACTTGGATCCACAATCAATGCCAATGGAAGCAGCTGTCAAGAAATCAAACAATTTAGTGAATTGGGTAAATTTGCTGCAAAAGACCTGTTTAAAGTATCAAAAAGTAAAGATGTCACTTTGAAGACTAAGGTGTGCCTGACCCAAGCCATGGTATTTTGAATCATCTCATAGGCAAGCAAAAGCTGGACAATGAATAAGAAAGAATAAAGAATTGATGACTTCGAATTATGGTGTTGGTGAAGAATAGTAAATACACCATGGACTTCCAGAACAAACAAAATTGTCTTGCAAGGAGTGCAGCCAGAATGTTCTTTAGAAGTGAACGTGGTGAAACTTTGTCTTACGTTCTTTGGACATGTTATCAGGAGGGACCACTCCCTGGAGAAGGATATCATATTTGGTAAAGTAGTGAGAGTGAAAAAGAAGATCCTCAATAAGATAGATTCACACAGTAGCTAAAACAGTGGGCTCAAATAGCAACAGTTTTGAGAATGACATGGTAGGGTTTGAAGATGCAGTAGTGGTTTTTTTTTTTTTTTTCCTCTGTTGTATATAGAGTTGCTACAAGTCAGAACCGACACAACAGCTAATCATAACAGCCTCTGAGATATAGAAAATTCATCTTACGAACTGAGAATGGGGAAGCAGAACCGCAGAGGGAAAGTGGAGTGTGGCCACTAAGAAGAGGGTGAATAGATCCCAGGCTGCCCACATGTCCACTCCAGGGTAAAATATACTTGAGATAGGGAGAAATATACCTGAGATAGGAAAAATGGATTAGGCTTGGGGATTTGTTTCTGCAATGCTGAAAACTAGACAGTCAAATCTCACGTTCTGAAAAAGATATAATGAGGGGGAAAAGTGTTCCTCACCCAATATCTCCCTCCTATGTTTTCAAGTCCTCATTGTTTATTTGGGTGACAGTGTTTGTTTTGATCAACTGGCCTCGAAAATAAAACAAGTGCTCAAGATAATTGATGATCACTGCCACTGCACAAAGGCCATCTTGTACTGAAGGAGCTATGTCTTTTAAATCCTTTCCTTCTATTGCTGGTTTTAAATAATGTTTCTGACAAAATTCTGCTTTTCTTTCTATCAACTGTCAGTTGACTGGTATTGGGCATTATTTGTGGGGCTGTAAATACATTACATGAAAAAATAATGAGTCCTTAAAAAGTCAAGAAAAATGCCTCCAGAGACATTTATCTAACAGGGAGATTTATGTAAGTCCAGGAATGAAGTTTCAGAAACTTCAAATGAAAAGTATGGAAGCTAAAACAAAGTCTCTTCCACATCTGCCTTTATTGTGGAGTTTGGATGATTTTCCCTTGCATTTTTAATCTGGAAGATGGACAATGTTTTTCATGTTCATCTTTAGTTAATGGTCTAATAGTAACTCTTGGGAGCATCCCTCAGTACAGCATATTATTACTCCATTCTTGTGACTGAATTTGATGTATCTATTGTATTCTTGCTGCATAAACTGATCCCTGGGATTAATCATTTTCTTTTTATCAGCTAGAAAGTATAGACACTTAATGAATATACCTACATCAGTCAATGTAATGAGTCTCGTTGTCTGGGCTCTGAAATATACTGATTATTCTAAAGTTGAAGTATAGTCTACATTCAAACTTACTCCAGGTTTCCAAGTTTTCCCTTCATATCTGTCTGAGGAAGATAAAGCTTTTTTTTTTTTTTTTTTCTTTTTTCAATTTAGTTCTTCAGAATCTGGGCAGTTAAATGCATCTACTAGGTGATGTGCAAAACAGATTAAACAAGCTTTGCATTTTTTATGACAGTACACCTTAAGAAAATTACTTAGCTTCATTTTCTTTAACAGGGACTATTTTGTCATCTTAGTAGGAATTGTTGCGTGAAAGGATTATGCTAGTCAATATTACCCAGGGGTATCTCTGGCAGCCTTGCAATTGGAAAGAAGGGGATGTTAACATGGCTATAGCATCTGTCACGTTTGAAGAACCGAAGCAGAGTCAGCTGACCTGACAGAAGAGGCAGGACTCCTGTGCTCTCCAGAAGCTGACCCCAAAGCCGCAGGGGTGGTCTTCCACGATAAAGGAAGACCATTCTGTCATCAAAGATTGCTGAAAGAAATTAAGTGGACTCAAATCTGAGTCATAATTAATGGATTTGGTTTCTGTTTTGTTTTCAGTTGTTTGAATTTATGAACTTTTTGGCTGAGAACGTCATCTTCTGTTACATGGGCCTGGCGCTGTTCACGTTCCAGAATCACATCTTTAATGTTCTTTTTATACTTGGAGGCTTTGTATCCTTTCTAATGCAGCATGTGTTGTGGTTAGGGAAGGGAACACACTACTTCCTTTTTCTGATTATTCTGCTAAATTGTTGAAGTAATTTCCCCAGTTTAACTACAAGGCTCAACTTCAGGTAGATAGGTAATTTCCAGCTAAAGCAGAAAAGCACTCTGAAAAATTGGAGCCTTTATTAAATACTTATGGTTTAGCAAAAGACATTGAGAAAACACTGAGGGAAATAAAGAGGAAAGGAACAAAAGGGAACATTTTTCAAGTATTCAAAAGATGTTCAACTAAAATTATGAATCATTTACGTGAAAAATTATGTTGATCCATTCAACACAGAAAAATGGATTTAATATGCATTAGAGAGTATCAGAAGATGCTCCTGACAGCCAGGATTATGGAGCTTTGGGAATGTTTTCATTGCAAAATGGTAAAATCTATTTTTCCAAGGAGGTCTTTAGAAATAGGGTAGACAGAATAAAGATTAAATGAAATTAGCATGATGAATTACTTTCAACATTATAACTATTGTACAATATAAGTTGATTTTAATAAGCTAGCACCTTTTCTGTAATGAGCATGGGAACTAACATCTAGACCTCACTTTTAATGCAGAGGATTTTTCTAGCTCCAGTCTGGACAAAAGACATTTCTAGTGCGGATGGATGTCTGTATGAAAGAATTTGAAGCCCTAAGGACACTTAGTAACTGTTGTCTTTCTTCCTGCTTGGAAAATGGGCAGATGGACCCTGAGATCATGGGCAGATAATCGGAACAGTCTGAAGAGCCTAGTGTCTCTGAGACCTTTTCCAATTAAGCATCTGCATTTACCTCTTATTCCCTTTTTCAGTGACACTCAGCTAAACTGAAATTTCATCCAAAACCTGGATCTCAAAAGGAAACTCCTTTTCTCCCCTAAAAAACACCATCCCATTTGAGGATAAACTAAGTAGACTATCAGGGAAGATGACAAAACGGAGAGATTTTAGTGAAATGCCTTTTAAAGCAGCAGTTGTATTATACATTTGGACAGGCAATTCCTCTCAAAATTAAATCCACTAAAAGAAAAAAGTAAGGAAAGCCTGCTAGATACAGAGAGTATAAACTGATGGAAAATAAGATGGTAATCACAAGCAGAAGTACCTTTATTCTTTCTAAAGTGTGCTTGAGAAGATAATGCCACATCATCTGAATGGTCTCTGCCAAACATTTTACAACAGGATTGCAGATTGAGTCAGTCATCAGCAATATAAATGTGATGAGAAAATTTACAGTGATTGAAATGCATTGGATTATCAATTTTAAGCCAAGCATATATTCAAAGAAAGACAGAGTTCTCTATTGTTTCTGGAAAGGAGTTGACATCAAAATATGAATCGTGGAAATAAATTGGGCATGTATGTACTAACATGTTTATTCCTGCTTTCTGGATCATAATATATGGAGAGATTTTAAGCTTATAGGCTCTGACTTCATTGTAGCAACATTTTCCTTAATGTTCCCCTGTGCTTATCTACAGCTAGCAATTTTGGTTGCCAGAGCCTGCAACATATATCCCCTCTCTTTCTTCTTGAATCTGGGCCGAAAACAAAAGATTCCCTGTAACTTTCAGCACATGATGATGTTTTCAGGTAAGTGAGTTAAGTTAAATGTTACCACTGATATTTTTTCACATTTTCACAGACCATGAAGACCCATGCAGAGACTTAGGGATCTAGGGGAAACAGAACTTCTCTTCACCCCCAGTGTGCCCAGCACCATGCTGATACTCTGTAAGTTCTGAGCAACAGCAGGATTTATCTTCTAGAAAGAAAGTGAAAATTAAAGGGAACCTTGTTGGGATGACCTCAAGGTATAGTACCTGACCTGGAATGGGCAGTGGGCCTCCCATTGACCTATTCCAGATCAATTTTCCTATCAGGGAATCTAAATTATTATTTCACTAATTTCACACTTCAAGTAAATAGTGGGTAAATTGTATCACTCATATCTAATGTTAAAGTTCCTTCTCCTTAAAATCCCTGTTCCTTCCCCATGCAGAGCAGCTTCTCATGATTAACACAAAAGGAAATCATACTGTTATTAGTAGAAAAAACAAATATTAATTGAGAGCTTACCAGGTGGCAAGACCAATACTGGAGGACGAAAGTAATAAGGTCTCTGCTCTCAAGAAGCTTATGTTTGAGTTTCTTAAGCCATACCTGAAGGCTCCTTTCCAGAAGAAAATAAAACAGATGAACTTGCTGACCATGCACTACTCTGGGGACTGTAATTTCTTTCTGTCTAATCAGTTTTTCTACCATCAGTCTTGTTCAGAGACCTTTCCCCTTACATGCGTTCCAGGTGTATGTACACATACAGTACACTCAGAAGCAGTTCATTGGAAGATACAGGAGAGTAAAAGAACTGCTCACAAAATAGGGCAAACACATATCATTTGGGGCATAAAGAGGAATGTGGAAAAAGCCACAGAAATCGCATTTACTTAATATCTTGTTAGTAATGATCTCGAACATACAAATGACCGTGAAGATGGCACAGGACTGGGCAATGTTTTGTTCTATTATGCATAAGGTTGCCATGAGCCAGAGATGACTGATTGGTATATATTATATACCAATATAATGAGTTGATTGGTATATATTATATACCAATCTTATAAAGCAGATATAACCTATTTTGTAGATGGAAAAACTGAGGTTCAGACAAAAGTCTTTGTGAACTCAGGTTTGTGACATTTCACTTCAAACCCAACCAAGTATCTCACAATTCATATTCCTAGAAGCAGCATAAGAAACAAAAGTCTTATTTCACCTTCAGTTCCATTCTGGACTGCTCCACACAGTTAAAGCAGGGTATTGTCCAGGTTGAGAATGAATCATTTAATCAAGTACAGGCAGATGGAGATGTAAAGTTGAAAACACTCTTTTGAAGTGCTCTGACAGCACTTCCCTACATTTCCAGGTATGAGAGGGTGAGAGAGAGAGCAGTAAAGAGGATGAGAAATTGGACTCATAGGTGAGCTTCAACTTGGGACAGAAATGAACTTTGCCAACTATGAGAAAGAGAATTTGATCACTAATAAATAGGAAACTAGCACCATGTTGCATTTCTGCAAAGCATTTCTAGGAATTAGAAAGCATTTTTGTTTCTTTCCAACAAAACTTCAGCAGCCTTACTCTAGAGAACACTAATTAAAGTTAAATATTATATTTTAAACAATGTTTTACTTGACAAAGAATACTTTGAGAAAAGCTCCTAAAGTTTTAGCTAGTCACGTTGGGATATGAAGTCACTGCCCAAATGATCTCATGGTCTGACGGTTTCCAGGGTTTGGGGCTTTCTATATTTGCTTAGCTGTAGGACTGGAGATGCAATAAAACTGATAGACACCAGCAACAGGGAGTATTGTAGCCAGAAGATGTGAGGAGGTACAGAACTTGGTGATGTCTTTATGAAACTCTAAGCAGAGGATCAACAGTCTCAAGCACTTGAGCCAAATAGAGCCTGAGCCTGTTTTTGTAAATAAATTTGGAACACAGCTGTACCCACTTGTGTACATATTGTCTATGACTGCTTTCACACTACAATGGCACAGTTAAGCAGCCACAACAGTAACTGTATGGCCTGCCAAGCCTGATATATTTACTATTTGTTCTGGTTCTAAGGCATCCAAACCCTCTCTAAGGAAAACAATAACCTTATCACTTTAATGGGGTTGACATTATTAATTTCATTCACAGGAGTACAAATCAGCTAGTCTGCATCATTAAAAAGACCAGCATACCAAAATTTCAGGACACCTACATAGGTATGACTGTGATGTCCAGATAATGGTGTCCATTGTCTTCCACACTGAGGGTGTATGCCATCTGTCAGGCATTAAATCACTCGATATTAGTGGTTCAACCACTTAACCTCAAGGCTTACAGTCTTCTTGGGCCAAAGTGAACTTCTTTTATAGATTTGACTGGATCTTTTGTTTTGTACACTTTTCACAATGAAATGAACTTGAATAACAAAGAGATTGGGTTACTCCCTTATATTTTATGTCATTTTAATTAAAAGTTAATAATATTCATGATGCTCCCTGGGATGGTTTTAGGAATACTGGACTTTCCACCAAAATCTGTTTTCTGGGCTTTAAAAGGAGGAGATTATAATATTAAATGGCTATGTAACTTAATCATAGGTGCCAGAACTCAAAAGTCACTTTACATATTTCTAAGACATTTTATAGGCACAGTTTTGAGACTCATAGCCTGGTGAGGTAGCATAGTTATTACTGGTATCTTTTTGCAGATTACAAAGAGAGAGACATTAAGAGATTGGGTAACTTGCTCTCAAAACTAATTAGAGATGAAATTAAGACTTGACCCCAGGCCTCTTGGTTTTGGGTTTAGAACCTTCTCATCTACATGACACTGCCTCAGATTTACCCCCAAGGTCATGAGAACAAAAATTAAATCAAAACCATGTCCTTCCTAACCCAGGCCAATTCCAACATATCTAACATGACCCTCATGTAAACCCAACCCCCATCCAGTTTATAATCAACCAAGAATGTGGGCAACTTCCCCTCCGCCAGCTCAGGTTGTGTACTCTAAACTCCACCCCCATCAGTGTCCATAAAGGACTGGGTGAGGTCACCACGTGCACAGCCAAAGAGCTCCAGACTCGGCTTTGATTTTCTGCATGAATTTTGATATGCTATACCTCACTCTGGACCTAAAGTTTTAAGTGTATTTTTCAGGAAATAAAGAATTTAAAAAGTCAACTTAAGGTAACATAAACCAGAGAAAGAGGTTAACAAAGCAGATCAAATAACACACTGTCTAGCTTACTCTGGGTGTGTGAGAACAATGCTTGCTGAAACCAGATGGGAAAGCCAGACCCCTTAAAGAGTATTTGCTTTTTAATGTATTCTTAATGTTCTTGATTATCCCTGAAGTGTTTTTAGTCATCCAATAAGAAGGATGACTTAAATAGTCCTCTGGCTGAATCTAATTGCCCAGACTTCAATTGATTGAGGTAGAGCCTTTCTAAAGAAAAAAAAGAAAAAACCTGTTGCTGTCCAGGCAGTTCCAACTCAGGGAAATGACTCATGTGTGCAGAATAGAACTGTGCACTATAGAGTTTTCAATGGCTATGACCTTTAGGAAGTAGAACACCAGGTCTTTCTTTCAAGGAACTTCTGGGTGGGTTGTTAAGTCCGTAACTGTTCACAGCACCCAAGGACTTGAGCCTTTCTTCACATGTCTTAAAACACTTTGCAGAGTCCTTTGCATCAGGTAAGCAACAATGACCATGTATCTAAAATGGAGTGTGAATTTCTTTATATATTCACAGTCACCCAGTTATTATTTAGCAGACATTCGTTGGCACACCATATTGGGTAGGATTAGGGCCAACAAAGGCAAAGATGTGGGCCCTCCTTTAACTAAGAGAGAGCCTAAGAGAGAGAGCTTGGGGTCCCTCAGGCTCAGTACACTTAAGAAAGTATACCTAAAATAGTTCACAGCCTAATCAGATAAGAACCTGAAATTCCTTTCTTTGTCAATTACACCTTCCATTTGACAAATCCTTGTCCATTGTTACCTTTACTTCCACCTTATGCACATTCACTTGGCACTGAGCTGGGGAGATGCTGGAGATGTTTCCAAGCAGAAATGGATTCACCATAAAGTCAACAGGCTTCTGGCTCTCTCACTTACTCCTATAAGAGTGGTCTGATGGGCATAGAAACTGTGTAAAACTATGATGCATTGTACTCTTTCTCTTAAAGAAGGCCCCCAAATTGTGGGGGCTTTGTTATTGTTGTTAGCTGCTATCAAATCAGCCCCCAACTCATGCAACCTCATGCATGATGGAATGAAGTGCTACCCAGTCCTGTGCCATTGCCATGATTTCTTAGGGATCAGACCATTGAGATCCAATGGTTTTCACTGGCTGATTTTCAGATGATTGCCCATCTTAGTCTGGAAGCACTGTGAAAACCTGTTCAGCATAATAGCAACACCCACGCTTCCATTGACTCACAGGTGGTGGCTGCACGTGAAGTGCATTGACCAGGTATCAAACCTGGATCTCCCACACTGAAGGAAAGAATTCTACCCCAGAGCCACCACTGCCTGTGAAACCTTTACATACATTGTTATGGGGTCGATTCTAACTCATAGTAACCCTGTAAGACAGAGTAGAACTGCTCCAGAGGGTTTCCAAGGCTGTAATCTTTATTGAAGCAGATTGCCACATCTATCTGCTGCAGAGCAGCTGGTGGGTTAAGCCAAGCGCTTAACCACTGCACTACCAATGCCTCTACCATGCAAGCATGAGGCCCCACAAAATCTAGATCAGACCTGTCTCCAAATCTGGATGCACCTAGAGACGAAAGTTTAAGAACGGATTCGGCTGCTTATTATTACTCGTCTCCTGGGAGTGAGAGGTCCATCAGTGAGTGTTGAAACAAGAGCTCTGGTTCATCAGTGTTTTTGAGGAAAACTCACATTGTCCGTGGATGACCTTACTGCCACTGCTACCCTCTACCCGCACCCCCCCCCACCACCACTGTTTGCCTCTAGAGACAAACTGAATGAAACAACTGTCAGGGCTGGATTGAATTTCTCACCTA